GTGTATGCTGTTCAGCCTAATTGTGTCATGTCAGAGAGGCCAGGTGTTTCTGTCTGGCCCCACAGCCGTCCTGGATGTTGAGGACACCACCTGAATTTCAGACTGGCCATCTAAACAACACCGCTGGTGAAGCAGCACTGCAACTGAGCCCTTGGGGGGAAAAGCAGAAGATGATTTGAATTTCTCTTCCCCTCTAATAAAATATCTACTGACATTTATGGAGGAGCCTGGACAACACCTTGTGCTGGGCCCTCTTTTCTTTCTTTACTTTCTCCCCATGAGAAAACCCCCCCACTAGATGATTTAACCTTTATTAATGCACCCACACCTCTGTCTATATAAGTACACTTAAATTGTCACCTCCTACCCTGTATACTTCCCAGTGTCAAGTGTCCATCCCTGGTAGGGTTTGGTGGTTTTGCCACTCCACCATATGTCCATTCTCACTCTGACAATAGTGCTCCCACGTCCTTTGAGGAAGTAGCTACCTACTCCCCATTGTGTGCTGTCTCGGTGGTGCTGTCAATCAATCCGGGGGGCTCGGCAGTGTGCATGCCACTCAAACTATGCCCAAGTGTTCTCTTTCCTTCTGTGCTAAGTCCAAGGGCAGAGCACTCCAAGGGCAAACCTCCAGCTGTGCCTCAGGAAGAAGAACATCAGTTCCTGCTCCCCAGCTGCCCAGAGCACTTCCCTTTCCATCCTGAGAACAGTTCCTCTGACTTCCTTTGACCCTTAGGATATCCTCCACATTGCATTGCATTTTCTGTTGCTTGACAAATAGAGGAACTTACCTATACACAATCCACTGTGATTTAAACACTAAGCAATAGCTAACATTCATAGCATACTCTGCAGCTTATAAAGTACTTTCACATCCAATTTATCTTTTAATCGACCTTTTTGAAACCCAATATTTCTCCTCCCCCCAAATAAATCACTTACTGATTTCTCACAACAGCACAATCATTCTTTCAGTCACATAAGCTGTTTTAAATATCAGAATGACTTTGACTCTAGGCTTTCACTAACCCCCCTATAATCAGTCACCTAATCCTAACTATGGGATCTCCCGGATCCATCCCTTCCTTCCCATTCTCTCTGCCTCTAACTGTCAGAGCCTTCCTCACCTCCCAACAACGGTCTGCTGACTGCCACTAGTCAACCGTCTCCAAGCCAACCTGGTGCCACAAGCAGAAGGGTATGGCTACCATTTTATCATCACTGTGTCACTCCTCTCCTACCCATGGCTTGCGGAGCAAAGATTACAGGACAATGATTTACAGGGCAATTCCCTAGCCTCAATGCTGGGCTATCTACAAGCAGGCTCCACTTCTCTCTTCTATCTCACAGTACACTATTCTTCAGCAGAAAGCTTTTGCTGGAACAAGTGTTTTCAAACATGTAGTGGATTGAAAAAAAAAGGCTATAATTTTATGCAGCTCTTTCTCATCATAAGTGGGGTCTTTGGACACCCCTTGAATCTGAGGTGACCTTGTGACTTGATTTGGTCAATGGGAGAAGAGCAAATGCAATACAAACAGAGGCTTAACAATCATTTTTGAATTGCTGCTCTTGGAACACTGCTTTGTTGCCATGTAAAGAAGCCCAGGCTAGTAGGCTAGAGAATGGGAGGTACATGTCCCAGTCACCTGTTAACCTGGCCAACACCTAGTAACTGCCAGATATAAGCGAGGCCATCCTAGATCATCCTGCCACCCGCGAACCCACCAGGTGACTGAAGATGCCTGAGGGGCTCCAACGGAGACCAGCGGAAGAACCACCCAGCTGAAGCCAGCCCACATTGCTGACCACAGAATCATGGCCTATAGTCAATATTTTAAGCAACAACTTTTGGGGTGATTTGTTATGCAGTCAAGGATGATTGATAAAACATCTAAGCTGATTTGGTCACGTTCTCCTAGGAATTCCTTTCAATTACTACTTACTGCCTTGGGCACTCAATCCTAAAATACCTTCTTTCATGTTTTGTACCATTATTTAATTTTTTATGTGTTCTATTTCCCCCCTTTTAAGTACACAGTCTTCTTGTAAGGAGACTGTGTACTTTATATTTTTATATCTCACCTAGGCACAAAATGAATACACAATGGCTAGTTAGGAATCAGTATTTTCCATCAAGCATATCAATTAACATTCATCATTTCAAAGCATATTTCGATCATTAATTTTACAAGCTTAAAAAGGATCTGATAAGATGCAAACCATAAAATACAAAATCTAGTCATCTAACCTATAAAGTACAAAACCATGCATAGCAGAGATCATCCTAGAAACCATTTTTATTGATTCATTTTCAGATGATTACTTCTTGCAAGCGAACCTGCATACCAATAAAAAGGGGCACGAAGAAGCAAGCATGTACTAAGGGTAAAAGTTTCACAGAAGCAACTGTTTGATTTTCACCAGGATATTATTTTTCTCCCAAGACACATATTTCTCCTATGTGGTTCACAACCCTAATCTGACAGACTGCCAAAAACAAGGCTTCTATCCTAAGAATGTCGCTGACTCTCTCCTTACTGTTCAATTAGATTTTGCATTTAATAGAGAAATCCCCTTGTGTTCCTCATAATGGTGCACCTGCTCCTTGGGAGATTTCCTCTTTTGACAAGAAATGCCTCGAGTCTGGCAAGAAAAAAACAGCTCCAGGCTTTCTCTGATAATATCAAAGACATTTGTTTGTTTTAGATGTTTGTGTGGGTTTCCCTCCCCTTAAGAGCAGTAAAGCACTGCTATGATTCCTTCCAAAACAACAACACACACACAGTTTCTTGGCCTCTGTTCCACATTTCCACTGTACACCTGCGCCAGAGCGACTGCCTGGAATTAGCTAAGCTATGACATGGTAGACAGAGACATTCATTTGCTTTACTCGCTACCTTCTGGATGGCAACACATGGTAAATGTCCAAACAAAGGCATCATCATTTCAAACCCACTATCTTGTCATCTTTTCTCATGAACTGCTTGCTATGGAGAAAATGAAGTTTATATTCAAAATTATATCCCTTTTTTATATCTTATTTCTAACTGAGGGAGCCAAGCACCCATCTTTTTCTTTCCGATTGTAGACCTGGGAATTCCTACAGGTTTGATCGGGAGTAATCTTCAGTGAGTATGGCCTTCCGGAGAAGCTTCTGCGATTGGTACCGAAGTGTCACATCTTTTCCTAATAGTTTTAAGGACATCTTTACGGGGTCTCCCTGCACTCTAAGCATGCCCCATGTAATTTAACATGGAGATGCATCAGAAATACCCAGTAGACGTTCTCTCCCAGATGTGAGCACGTTAGCATAAATGCTTTCCTACACCTTGTTCTTTTTCTTTGCCTTTTAAAATTTCAATATTTACAAATGAAATACAGATTTCAACCCATTCCCAACTGGGATGTCGGCTGTACAGTGAGAGAAACGGGTTTTTGCCTTCCTGCGGACTCAGTAAGGAAAGTGGTGCTTGGAAATGACGTGTTTAGAGTGACACCTTGGAGAATGGACAGACTCTGCACATGTAATCCTCATAAACCTCCCCAGACAGCCCTTATTTCATTTTGCAAACTGCACCCTGGCCGGGCTCCACAACACGTGCAGAGCGGGGAGGCTGTCCTGCGGGGGGGGGGGGGGAAGAGGCGTGGAGCCCAGCTACCAGCACGCGAGAAACGGGCACCGACAGGGAGCTCCCTTAATTAACTTTCCCAAGGAAAGCAATGTTCCCACAGGAAAAAACAACCCCGTTTCGCCTCTCCTAGCGGCCCACTGGAAATGAGCAACAATGCTCCTGCCTTTTTGTTTCCTCGAGACTTTCTTCTTTGCAAGCAGTAGCGTGTTCCTCAAAGAATGCTAGTATTTCCTGTGGAAACTGTATGGCTGCCAGGAGTGGCTCCTAATTTTCCCGCTTTTCTTTTCATGCAAAACGAAGTAAACAAAGCATGGCTTTGGACGACGGCCAATATACCGGCTCACCTCACTTACCACCTGCGGAGGAAAGTCATCACCAGGGAAGGCCACGGGAGAAACGAGAAATGGACACGGACCGGCCTGGACGCAGGACCGCGCGGAG